GATGTTATTAAAAAAAAACTAGCTGAACTTCCGAGATTCGACTATGCGTACAAAGGATTTCCGGTCACTTACTGGCCCAGAAATACACAACAGCACTGTTTAGCTCATCCTGATTCTTATTGGAGACTTCCTGCTTGTAGTGTTTGGTGGAACTAGTTCCAGAACTCCATATCAATTTTTATTACTAGGTGGCGTATCAAGTCTGATAAGCTCTGCTCAGAAATGGCAATCAATTAGAATGTTATCCATAAATCCAATGGAGACTCACGTGAGCAACAAAAGGCTGCGGCTTTCTAAGGGAAGTAGTTGACGCCAATTGCTTGTACATTCGGCTACCGACTCAATAAAATGCGTTGTAACTTTTTTTCCAGGAGCAACCCCCTCCCCTTCAGGGACATTAGATCACTCTCTTCTCCGATAAACAACTGCTAATAGTCAATGCAAACTAAGACCGGTTTATGGGTAGTCAAAGGAGAAGAATAAGAGGGAATTCACAAACATTTCAGTGTCTTGCTAAAACCACAGGGGGAAAATAGGTTCTTTATGTTTCTTTTCTTAAGCTGAGTACAATATTACATGTAGCCATCAAGGGATTTTAGTCGGAACAACTCTTTGAAGCCCTCAAATTGTTCCTGTCTTTCAAGGAAAGGCGTCCTTTGGGAAAGTAAGGAAATTTATTCAGTCTTTCATTTTCCCCAAGGACGCCTTTCCTTGAAATTACATTTCGTGAGATACCTGCCTTCTAGTTTATACGAAAGAGTTCCTGTCTTTTTAGTGCCCTAATTGACATTCCAAGAAGTGGGCGACAAATGGTCTTCTTTCACTTTTGACCCCCATCAACGAACTGTTTATATCAAAACATGTTATTGCATAGAAATTGCATTCGAACTAAATTCGAGTACCATCATTCCTATCGCATTTGACAAAGAAGGCAACACCTATCCTCAATGTAACCTTTAGAAATAAGCCATAATATTCAACAATTTTACTGAATAGTATGAGCCCATTTTTGCTCATAACTTACATCATTAATTTTCGAATAGGAAAACTGGCCCCATTCTGGGGGTCTGCACTAATTTCCTGACGAATTAGGGAAAAGGGCACGTTAGGGCTAAAGTTAAGTTTAGGGGTTAATATTTGGGAAAGAATTTGTGTTGATTTCTGGATTAGGACATGGAAATACCTACACGTTATGCAATTTTGCGCAAGACTATCTGTATTACTGGGCTTTCCTACTCGCGCGTCTTCCAGTTAAACTGTCCCATGCGTTTAATCGCATCGCCTCTTAGGAAATCATATTGCTCATATATTTACTGAATATACAGCTTCGTGTTACTAAACAGTTGATTTTTCATCTTAGCCCCTCTGTGGTGCTTGTACCAGGAGTTGCTCCATCACTTACTCTCTGCAACTTCCCTTAGTAAACAGACGTTTACGTACATTATGGTGGTCGGATCGTCACTTACTTGACGTGGTCTGTGATTTAATCTGATGTAAAGTTCTGATTCTGGTCCAAAGCTGGTCCCATTGGCAACTCATCATCTCTAAAACTCAATCAGTCGAAAGTAGGGACGTAGGGTACTTTATCAGCGCTCCGAGAGATTGCAGCATTGTTATCCCTCAAGAAATCTGAACAAGGGACTCCGCACAACCACATCCTTCTAGAGACTAGCAGAATTTATTGACATTATGCCTATTAAGATTCGCCCTTCTAGGTCGACACTTAATTGGATAGTTAATTTATCTTATTATTAGGCAATGGCTGTTTGCGGTTGAATAAATGGTCGCGAAATTGTATGACGTCTCGTAATCTTTGCTCTGGGAGAGGCTGCAGTGAACTAGAGTGCAAGTCTGATGAGTTGAACTTTATCCGACCAGCGTATGAGGCGAAAAGCTACTTGATAGAGTTTGTTAACCAGAAAACCTCAATGTAAAACGAGAAATGAAACGGTATTAGAAACAGAGTTTATCAAGTGATCAGGTGTGTCAAGACTGTATTGGAGGCAATCAGTCGCCTTCCAACGTTACTAAAATTTGGAGTTTCAAACAAGTTAAAGGCAACCATCTGGACTCAGGTAATGATACCGAAGGATTTCCTATCACTACAAGAGAGGCTTCAAATCGTCCTTCAGATGTAATGATTTTGAAGATGACGTAACTAATTTGGACAAGCAGGAATTTGAAGCAAGCGACAACGGTGGAATTTATTTGTACAAATACACCTCGAGAGAGCTTATCAACCGCTTCCTCTCTGCACGAATTTTGAATTTTCACAGAATCAATAAGTGCAAGGTCATTTTAACGTGGCGCATGGTCAACAGTAATGTCAACTTTAACCTTGGGAAGAAAAGTAGGGAGGGGCATTAACAAGAATAAAAGTGTGGTAGGCACACCACCCCAAACTGCGTCAATTCGCCTGCACTTGCG